AAATCAAAACATTCATGCGCACTTTTTATCGGCCCGGTGCGGGTTTGGTGGATGGTGAAGCAAGATATGGATCCAAGTGCAACGAGAAGCCCCCCGCGTACCCTGTTTTAAAAAACAAAAATATATTCTCGACTATTGTTTAGAAGAAAAAAAATTATTTATACGCACTTCTTAGCTGCCGCATGATGTGGAACCAAGCCCGAAGTGGTGGGAAGCGGAGGAAGATGGGGTGTGCAGGGCCTGGGAATGACGATGCGAAGTGAACAGCAATGAGCAGTTGGACTGGCCTGATAGCAGCCGAAAGAGCATCATTAGCGAAGAAGGTTGGAGGAAGGAGGAAGGGAGAGGAAGGAGCAGGGAGAAGGAAGAGGGAGGAGGAGGAGGAGGAGGAGGAGGAGGAGAGCGGACAAACAGTTGAAGATGTTCTCAAATTTTCAAAAGAACGAGATGGAAGAAAAAAAATTGTGTCCTAGTGTGCCAAGTGGTACGTGAAGGAGGGAGAGAGGAGGAGGAAGGAGGAGGAAGAAAGGGGAAGGAGGAGGAAAAAGGAGGAGGAAACAGGAGGACGAAGGGAGACAGGGAGGATGAAGAGGATGAGAACAAGGTGAAAAAAAAAGTGCTGGTGTGACATGTGGCACGCGACACGAGGAGAGAGAAGCAAGGTGGAGGGGGAGGAGGAGGAGGGAGGAGGACGACGAGAACAAGACGATAAAAAAATGTGTGTGGTGTTCCAATGGCACGCAACAGGAGGAGAGAGGAGGAAGGAGGGAGGGAGAAGGGAGGAGGAGCGAGGAAGGAGGAAGGAGAGAGGAGGATGGGAAAAAATAATTAGAAAGGAGGAAAGAGGAGGAGGAGGTGGAGGAGGAGGGAGGAGGGAGGAGGAGGATGACAAGGACCAGTTTGAGTTGGGGGGGAAATTTGTGCCAGTTTCGCATGTTGCACGTCACAGGGGAGAAGAGGAGTGAGGAGGAGGAAGGGGGAGGAGGAAGTAGGAGGAAGGAGGGAGTGGCGGGGGAGATGAGGAGGACGGAGAAGGAGGAGGGAGGAGGATGACGAGGATGAGAACAAGATGGGGGTGAAAATGTGTCCCGGTGTGCCATGTGGCGGGAGGAGGAAGGAAGTGGACGTTGAGGAAGGCCAAAGGAGGAGGAAGGCCAAAGGAGGAGGGAGGGCCGAGGGGGATGCAGAGAGATTATGAGGAAGGAGGAAGAGGAGGAAGGACGACTACGAATGCGAGATCAAGATGAAACGAACAATCGCATGCGGCTGAGCCACATGGCATGCGACAGCAGGAGGAAGGAGGAAGGAGAAGGGAGAGAAGAGGACGAAGGAGGAGGAGAGGATGAGAAGAACAAGAACAAGATGGAAAAGAAAAAGAGTCGCGTGCCGCTGTGCCACGTCGCACACGATGAGAGGAGAGGAGCATGCAGAGCGAACGGAGGAAGACGAGGTGAGAAGAGGAGGAGGAGGAGGGAGAAGGATGACACTAACGAGCACAAGATGAAAAAAAAAAAATGCATGTCGGTGTGCCAAAGTCGCACACTATAGGACGAGAGGGAAGGAAGGAGGAGGGAGGAGGGAGGAGGGAGGAGGAGGGAGGAGGGAGGGAGGAGGAAGGAGTAGGAAGGAGGAGGAGGAGGGAGGAGGAGGAAGGAGGGAGGAGGAAGGAGGAAGAAGGAAGGAGGAGGAGGAGGGAAGACGAGGAGGGAGGAGGACGAGGAGGGGGGAGGAGGATGAAAATGACAAGAACAAGATGAAAAGAATCACGTGTTGTTGTGCTGGATGGCACGCAACAGGAGGAGAGAGAAGGAAGGAGGAGGAGGGAGGAGGAAAAAGAGGAAAGAGGAGAGAGGAGGGGGAGGGAGGAGGGGGGAGGAAGATGGGAGACAAGGAGGGAAGAGAAAGAGGAGGGAAAAAATGACGAGGATGAGAAGAAGCATGTTGTTGCACCGCAAGGCACATGACAGGAGGAGGAAGAAGTACGAGGAGGAAGAAGGATGACGAGGAGGATAAGCAAGGAGGAAGGAGGACCAGGGGTGACGAGGAGGATGGAGAAGAAGGACGAGGGAGGAGGGAAAAAAAAAAAGCACGCTATGAGGGGAGGGGAGAGGAAGAGGAAGGAAGAGTACGGACAAGGGAGGAGGACGACGGCGATACCAACAAGAGAGAGAGAGAGAGAGAGAGAGAGAGAGAGAGAGAGAGAGAGAGAGAGAGAGAGAGAGAGAGAGAGAGAGAGAGAGAGAGAGATGAAAGGTAACAGGTCCTAAACAGAAGGTTTGACGAGTACACGTGGGAGGGAGTCTCATAGGGGGCCTGTATAGAAAAATCATCTGGATGATCAAATGGCCAACTGCTGAAGCGACTGTCATATGCCTGGTGGCTAGCCTCTACAACAACCTGGACTTCTTTTTTTTTTTCCCAAAGAAGGTTGGCGGCTTTCGAAAGGGGAACCTCCTCAACCCGCAGAGATCTCAACTCATCTGTTCTGGACGTGAGGAGATACTAGCACCGCAATCTAGTAGTCATGGTCAAACCACCAGTACACGCCCCCCGTGGGGCTGTGTCAGGGGCTAATCAATGGAAGTCCTTTGGGCCTTCCCGCCATGAGGGGGGGGGAGCGTGAGCGAGCACACATTGTAATCCTCTCAGACTTCAAGTTACCCGGGAAGTAGAAACCGGCCTGACGCTCCTCAGATTGGAAAAGGAGCCAGAATCGTAAGGTTCTGGTTTAAAAATAAAAAAAAAGGGAGGATGGAACGTGGCATGGAATAAATTCGAATAACCCAAACCTCACAGCCAAAGCAGCCACATCACGCCTACCTCCACCCGCCTCTCTGTTCGGCAGGGTGATGATCCATCAACAGATCACTTTTTGGAACTCTGTGGTACCTAGCCTCTACATGGTCTCCGCTGGACGAAGCTCCGGAAACCCTAAAGACGACAGTGAGGTGCTTCTTAAACCACCCGTACTTGGCCCAGCTATCGGCCGCGAGAAAAAAAAGAGTAGAAACGTTTCTAGTCGGATGAATTTGGGCACTCCTGCTGTAGTAGCCCGTACGTTTCCTAAAATCGTGGCGCATTAACGGGCACGACTCTAGCAAGTACTGGTGGTTTAAGTGCAGGCGCAACCCAAACAGAAGCAAGCATATCAACGTAGCCTGGCCCTACGTAAGTCGGAAACCAGTAGAACGTGGAGTCGGTGTAATCAACCCGAAAACGGAGACGTTATCTCCAATTCAGCAAAAGGCAGTACAAAAGAGTTTTCTGTTCCTTCTACTCCGACAGGCACAAGTCCACCATATGGAAAAGAGGTGATATGCAATAACCATTGACAGGGGACTTGTGTGCAATAGAAGGGGCCTGGTAAGCTCGTCAGCATGGTTGAAACGGAGATTCAATGTCGATGGATTTTTTTTTTTTTTTTTTTTTTTAACCCAACCTAGGGAATCCTATGGGGAGTGGAATGAGCACCTCGGCATAGAATCCCGTCGAGGTGCTCCAGTCTTAAGAAAAAAAATAATAATAAAAAAAAAAAGAATGGAATCAAGGAATACAATCAGGCAAACGGTGGAAACAACAATCAAGCAAAAACAACAACAACAGCAACAATCAGGCAAACGGCAAAACTCGGACCCAAAGAAAAAGCGCCGCTGCAAAGAGAGCTTTTACTCAGGATGACTGTTGCAAGGCAAAATTGCATCAGCAGTTAGAACTTAGAAGACAAAAAAAAAAAAAAAAAAAAAAAAAAAAAAAAAAAAAAAAAAAAAAAAAAAAAAGGGAAAAAAAAAAATTGAGGTGGAAGAAGTGGGACACAACAAGGAGGAGAGATCAGGGCCATACAACAGCAGGCACGGAGAATGGCTTGACACGAGAGTCCAACACATGTTCAGAGAGACCTCCAAGAGAAGAAAAAAAAAAAAAACCACTACACACGATGGCTCCCAACATCTCTTACCCAGCAGCCAGCCCTTCCTAAAAAAAATTACAGTCTTCCCCCGAATACAACGTACGGTCATTATACCCGTATTTAGACTGAAAGATACCCCAAATACAGCTATAATTACCGTACGTTGTATTCGGAGAAAGAAGGTAGGCCAGTTGGTGATGTCCTCTCCTCTGTGTTGCAGAGATCGCTATTTTGTGCAGCTTCATTTCTCTGTGTTAATCACTCTACTTCCAGCCACGTGGATTATCGTCCAGGAGGCCACACAGAAAACGGAGTACTTTCAATTTACTTGTCATGTGAGATGATTAAAGACAGACAGATAGAATTCTTGATGCTCCTCAGAATGGAGAAGGAGCCAG